GAAACTGATCAGTTTCAGCAGCGGCTGAATCTGGACGCCAGTTTCAACTTACATACAGATTCAACTTAAGAACAAACCTACAGTCCCTATCTTGTACGTAACCCGGGGACTGCCTGTATTTACAAGTGGAACATTCCTCCTTCCCCCCGCATACAGATGCTAAGTTAGCAGCAGTAAGTGTTAGGAAGATAAAAACATCCAAGCCTAAGTAAGAATGAAAGATGCAACGTTGATGTTAGGGAGCCAGAGTAACAGACTTGGCTGGGTCAAAAGGAGGCCACAGTGCACCATAGTCTCCCTTCTTGCTGAGATGCATCATAGGAGTCACATGGCTGCTGTGCACATAGGAGATCTCTCTCAGTGTGTCTAGCCCACAGAGAAAACTGGGATCATGAAGTACCCAAGCTACAAATCCCACGGGGTACACCAAAGTAGGACTTCTGAATGGAAATTTTCTGTTTACGAAAATTATTCAGTTTTTCAATGAAAGTAGGCTAGTTTGATGGAAAGCAGACACTTTTTTTCAAAAAATTCTGTTATGCAAACCCTCCATTTCCCATAGAAAAAGAGTTGAAATAGAACTTCGACCAGCTTTAACAGCTAATCAAAAATGGGGTAATGTGAAGGAAGGATCAAGTGCTAAGTCTCTAACCTTTTTAAGCAATGTAAGATCTACCTCAAACCCAAATACCCTTGCCCCGCTTCCTTCATGCCCCTTCTCCAAGGGCCTGGCCCTGCTCACTCTGTCCTCCCTCCCTCTGCCATTCTCCCTCCCTTTCACCAGGCAGGGGCAGAGGGTTGGGGCACAGTCTCTGGTCTTGGGCTAAGGGATTTGGAGTGTGATGGGCTCTGAGCTGAGCCTAGGGCAGGGAGTTGGGGTCCAGGAGAGGGTTCAGGGCACAGACTCTGTAAGGGAGTTTAGGTCCAGGGGGCTTAGGGCAGGGGCTTGGGGTACAGGAGGGGGTTCATGACTGGGGCAGGGGTTCAGAGCAGGCTCCAGCTGGACACTGTTTTCCTGAAGTGGCTCCTGGGTGGTGGTGCAATGGGGCTAAGGGAGGCTCACCCCCGCCCTGGCCCTGCACCACTCTAAAAGCAGCCAGCAAACTCCCTCCATCCCAAGCCCTGTTGTGCCTCCACCCCGCCGTTCTGTGGAGGTAGCATACAGGGTGGGAGAGGGGCACCCTGTCAGTGCTCCTCCTCTCCTTCCCCTGCTCTGCACAGCAAGCAGGAGGCTCCCAGGGGAGGGGGGCAGCTCCAAGGCAAAGGGCAGGAGATGAGCAGCAGTGAAGGGAGGGGCAGCTGAAGTGCTGTGCTTGACAGCCTCTTGGCCAAGCCAGTCAATATCACTTGTAAGAGGCGCCAAGATCTACCAGCAGATCCCAATCTACTGGTTGGTGACCACTGTACTAAGTGTAGTGTTGTTTAGGAAGTATAGTTAACACTATAGTGAAGGCCCACTTCTGTTAGGGTATCCCCATCTTGTTTAACCTGTTAGCTCCAGCTCCCCTACCTGCTGATGGGCAGGAGCAGCCCCGCCACTTCCTCAGCAAGGGCTGCTCCAGCCTGGCCAGAGCAGACCCTGTCTGCACCGCTTCCCCCTTCCCCCGCCACAGGCAGGGGGGGGCCCCCCCCCCGCCACTTCCTCAGCAAGGGCTGCTCCAGCCTGGCCAGAGCAGACCCTGTCTGCACCGCTTCCCCCTTCCCCCGCCACAGGCAGGGGTGCACCCTCTCGGCTGCTCCCACAACCGGCTGTACCTGGGCCTGCTGTAAACAGAGGCTGCTCTGACTGGAAAGCTGAAGCAGCCTCTGTCTGCAGTAGACCCTACCCCGGGGCTGGAACAGCCCACTTCCCACAGCAGGCAAGGAGCTGTTCCAGCCCTCACCAGTTCACTGGTAAGCCTCACCTGCTGACCACGAAGCAAACTCTTGTTTCTATTCTTTTGGATGGTCAAAGACCACATGAAGTGTCACAGGCAGAGAATCCACGAGGTAGAGATTCTGGGTATACCTGAAAAGGACTAGGCTGCTTTGCTGTTGTATCACTGGACAAAAAAAAGCTTCAAAATCTCTACTCTAAACATTATTTAAGGAACACCCAAAATATTCTCCACTCTTATCAAACAATATATAATACAGAAAAGCATATTAGCATACACCAATACAAACATCTTCATATTAATAATGCACAACTACTGTCTCTAAAAATGGATAGATAATCAACGTTTTCTACTACGGAAGTGAACCGATCCTACAAATCAAGGTCTAAGAACTGCAACAACAACAAAAAGTCAAAGCGGAGGTTTAATGGAGGAGAGGTGGTAGTGTTGAAACCTATAGGAATAAATATTTTAAACCATCTGCCTTCTCATCTAGCCTAGAGAGAGTTAAAATCATTACTATTAAAGCATTCTTGCCCCGGGTTGAGTAGATTAACCTACTTGCTGAAACACATGGTCAGTGAAATCATCATCTGTCAAATAATGGTGCTTCCAGCTATTCCCATGTCACCAGCTGGCTAGTATAACTAGACAGTTAAAATGCTGCTGCTAGTCACTATTTTGTTCTCTCTACCTTCTTTCGACATGTGGGAGAATCATGCACAGAAAAAAAAAATCCCTGTGAACTGATGCGTTTTCTGTGTTTTTCTAATTTGTTTGTTTTTTTAATTAGATGCAATACTGGCTTGGATCAGAGGGATCTCAGCTGTCAATTCCATCTAGCAGTTTCCCCTCAAAGAGAGCCTTAGAAATGAGCAGCTATCAAGTGATCCCTAAAATTGGAAGGACAAGCAGGCGGGCTCAATTTCTGCAGCAACATGTCTCTGTTGGCTAGTAGTGGTAAAATGTGATAGGACTCCTTGCCTTGAAGAACCAACACATTTTTAGTCAGTTACATTTGGTGTATATTTCAAATTGTCTTATGCCCCCGCTCCTCCCCCAGAGTCTGAAACCAGCTCTGGGCATATTAAAGTGTTCAGTGATGGAAAGGAAAGGAAAGGAACAGACTGGCCTAGGTCAGAGGAAGCAGGCTGGCCTAGAGAGAACGCTCCATGTTTCAGAACACAAGCCATGCATTACAACACCAGACCCTGACCTCCCCACAACCCAAAGAAAGCTCTGGAGTGGTGAGGAAATTAAGGCAGCAAAATGCATGTAGGGTTTATTGTTTTTGTACAGATGTGTATATTTCTCATGTGGTTAAATAAAGAGCAATTCTGTGTTAGAACATGGAGACATGTTGCACAGAAATCTATGCTATACCCACCATGTGGTCCCTTGAAGAGGTGAAGTCTGGGTGAAGTACTGGGAAAAAGTATGCTGAACTACAGCAGTATTCAGAGAAGCTAGCATTGATTCCAGGATCTGGCCTGGGAACTACATGATATCAGCTGTCAGGACAGGGTGCTAGAACGGATCGCCACCTTGAGATGTACTTCGTGACAATGGGATTTGTTCAGACTCAGGAGACTGAATATCCAGAAGCAAGGTCTCTTCACAGCTATCTGGTAGTCCGCCAGCAGTGGAGCCTGACCAGATCAGTGTCAGTGGGAAAAGGACACAGTCATGCTTAAAAATATGTTAGCTGGTCATGAAAAGAAATTGAGGAAGGAAAAAAAAATCTATTACCAAGCTAAGAGAACTAGTTCTTGATACACTGATAAAATTACACAGGGTATATAATGCAGTGCACAGTACTAAATGGTCACGTTGGTAGTCTACAAGGCCCTGAAAACATCTGTGCTGCTCTAAATCTCCAACTAATAATCTCTTGAACATTATGAAGTGTACTGCTGCTTGCC